GCAGAGAGGCGGGGTTTGGTCTGTTCTCCTGAGTGGCAAGTGATAGGACAAGGGGAAATGGCCTAAAGTTGTGCCAGAGGAGAGTCAGGTTGGATATTAGGAAAATTTTATTTACTGAATGGGTTGTCAGGCATTGGAACAGCCTGCCCGGAGAGGTGGTTGATTCGCCATCCCTGGAGGTGTTTAAGAGACGGGTAGATGTTGTGTTGAGGGACATGGTTTAGTGGTGTTGATAGGGCTAGGAAAAGGTTGGACTCAACGATCTTGAAGGTCTCTTCCATACGAAGATGTCCTGTGGTTCTAAGAAAAGGTGCTACGATGAATCACAGGGACTTGCTTGTTTAGTAAGAGTAATCTATTCTCTCTTTGCCTCCTCACTGTTTGCTTGTTTAGGTTGAATTCTCCTATCCTCCCCTAAAGCCTGGTGAAGGACATGACAGCCACAGTTTACCAGAAGAATGGAAATACCTGCCATTTCTCGCCTTACCGGATGGCGCTCACAACTATCAGGAAGGTAAGAAATGAGAGAGGAATTTCTATGTACGACTTCTACTGCAACTGAAATAAAAATCCTGATATCTGAACATTGATCAACAATTCTTTTCCGCTATCAGATTTCCTGTACTTTTTGTTTAAGCTACACCATCTCCCACAGCATCCTCATAGCTAAACTGAGGAAGTGTGGTCTGGATCATCAGGTAGAGAGGTGGATTGTGAACTGGCTGAAGGAAAAAAGTCAGACAGATGTGGTCAGTGGGACAGAGTCTAGTTGGAGGCCTGTATCTAGTGGAGTCCCTCAGGGTTCAGTACTGGGGCTAGTACTATTCTATATATTCATCAGCAGCCTGGATGAGGGAATAGAGTGCATTGTCAGCAAGTTTGCTGATGACACAAAACTGGGAGGAGTGGCTGACACACCAGAAGGCTGTGCTGCCATTCAGCGAGACCTAGACAGGCTGGGGAGTTGGGCAGGGAGAAATTTTGTGAAATACAAGGGCAAGTGTAGAGTCTTGCATTTGGTAATGAAAAACTCCATGTGCCAGTATAGGTTGGAGACTGAACTGCTGGAGAGCAGTGTAGGAGAAAGGGACCTGGGAGTTCTAGTGGACAGCAGGATGCCCATGAGCCAGCAATGTGCCCTTGTGGCCAAGAAGGCCAAGGGCATCCTGGGGTGTATTAGAAAGGGAGTAGCTAGTAGGTTGAGAGAGGTTCTCATCCCCCTCTCCTCTGCCCTGGTGAGGCCACATCTGGAATGTGTCCAGTTCTGGGCCCCTCAGTTCAAGAAGGACACGGAACTGCTTGAGAGAGTCCAGTGCAGAGCCACAAAGATGATGAAGGAAGTGGAACATCTCTCCATTGTGAGGAAAGGCTGAAGGATCTGGGTCTCTTTAGCTTGGAGAGGAGGAGGCTGAGGGGTGACCTTGTTAATGTTTATCATAGAATGATTTGGGTTTGAAGGGATCTCAAAGATCATCTAGTTCCAAATCCCCTGCCATGGCAGGAAGATCTCCACTTACATCACATTTCTCAGTGCTCCATCCAGCCTAGCCTTGAACGCTTCCAGGGATGGAGCGCCCACAACCTCCCTGGGCAACCTGTTGCAGTGACTCACCACCCTGAGGGTAAAGACCTTCACAGAATCACAGAATGTCAGGGATTGGAAGGGACTTCAAAAGATCATCTAGTCCAGCACCCCCGCCAGAGCAGGATCACCTACAGTAGGTCACACAGGAACGCATCCAGGCGGGTTTTGAATGTCTCCAGAGAAGCAGACTCCACAACCTCCCTGGGCAGCCTGTCACCCTCACAGTGGAAAAAGTTTTTTCTAATATTTTTGTGGAACCTCCTATGTTCTTCCTTATATTTAGTCTAAACCTACACTCTTCCAGCTTCCACCCACTACCCCTTGTCCTATCACTACAGGCCCTTGTAAAAAGTCCCTCCCCAGCCTTCTTGTAGGCTCCCTTCACATACTGGAAGGCTGCTATGAGGTCTCCCTGGAGTCCTCTCATTTCCAGTTTATAAATATGTAAAAGGTGAGTGTCAGGAGGATAGAGCCCTCTTTTCAGTGATGTCCAATGACAATGGGTGCAAGCTGGAGCATATGAGGTTCCGCAAAAACGTTAGGAAAAACTTTTTCCCTGTGAGGGTGACAGAGCCCTGGCACAGGCTGCCCAGAGAGGTTGTGGAGTCTCCTTCTCTGGAGCCATTCAAAACCCGCCTGGATGTGTTCCTGTGTGACCTGCTCTAGGTGATGCAGCTTTGGCAGGGGTGTTGGACTAGATGATCTTTTGAGGTCCCTTCCAACCCGTAACTTTCTGTGATTCTGTGAAAATACATTGCTCATGACGTGTGCTTCAGAGTTTGAAGTGAAAGTAGATCATAAAGATGTACCTTCTGCATCAAGAAATCTTCATCAATAAAACTTCACTTATGTGTAGTCCTAGTGCAAAACAAGACCACTGGTGTTCTCAGAAGTTCTTTGAAGGGGGATAAACTCTTAAGTAAAACCTAATCCAATTTTGAGGTCAGGGGAAATAAGAAATTCTAAAGTTCGGCTTTGAAATATATCTAGTCATTATGATTTATTTTTGTCCCCTCCACTAGTTTAGAGATTCTTAAAATGACTTACAAGTCATTCACTGTCTGTAGAATCCCATGCTTTGAAAGCTAGCAAATACAAAGGACAGGAACAGGAGCTGTAGTGTATTTGTCAGCAGAATAAAGACAGAATGATTCATTTGCCTTGTAGTTACCAGCAAGTTCACGGCAGTTTTGGTTTGGTTTTTTTGTTTTTTTTTTTGTTTGTTTAATCTTGCATTAGGCCAGTCTATGATTCTATGATTTCACAGCAGTTCAGTTCATCACCATGACATTTATACACACATTCAGTTACTTCATCTTTTTTTCTGCATAACAGTGAACAAGGAAGTCACTTAAAACAGCAAAATCACAGAAACCCTTTAATACCACTTTTAATAAAATTATTTTTTTAACTTGATATACTTAGCTTCCTAATTCTCCAGCTTCCAGAGATGTCATTTGGAAGCAAAGGAAGTAACATAAAAATAATCCCTTTCCTAGTAGCAATGAATCTCTGTGCTCTGGATCATGATTTTTATTCAATTTCTGTATTGTTGAATCATAGAATCATAGAATGGCCTAAGGTGGAAGGGACCTTAGAGATCATTTTAATCCAGCCTCCCTGCCGCCAGGGATGCCACCTCTCGACTAGATCAGGCAACACATGGGTTTAAATGCTTACAAGAAGTAGGTTACATTCAAAGCTAAGAAAATCATAAGTAGCTGCACTTACCTGTTCTTTCTTGTCTCAGTACCATCCCAGTTAATGTTCAACTTTACGCATTTTTATTGCCACACTAAAAGATTATTGATGCGTATTTTCTGGTAAGAAAGAACATGGCAACAAAACTGATGTATATCCTTGTGTCTTGTAGGCAAGAATACACATGTACTTAGAGCAGGCAAAAGTCTTTCAGAAAATAGTTATGTTACATTTACTAGAGCTTTATTAGATATTGATTTTTTTGGGTTTTAAAGTAATTCCCACTGGTATTGCATTTTTGCAAAGAGGATGACTTGGTACAGGAAATAGTTTAAAGGTTTTCTAAACCCGTAGGTGATCTCCATAATTAAACTTGTTCAAGGGAGTGAACTTTGTGGCCAAGAGTCCCTCCTTATGCTTGACTTCATGCACATGGGATTGTCACTTCTGTTCACTTTCTTACTGTGAAGCAAACAAAAAATTAATAATTGATTTCAAAACAGATTCCACTCATGTTTTGCAAGGTAAACAGTTGTAATGTCTTCTCCTTTACTTGGGACTTAGCAACTTTTTTTGCAGCAGTAGCATGTGTGTAGATGTATGTGTGTATATATCTCAAGCCATAAAAACCTTTCTTTTGTTGTATTTTACAGAGAGTGGGTTTTTTTCTTTCATGTCGCACTTGCAGAGAAACAGTAATTATTTTGTCTGAGACAAGGATTCACAAATTCATTTTGTTAGCATAGCGATGCTGGTACATGGATATCTACCTTGGCAGTCATAGCAGCTACTTTAATCTTTCAACTGTGTGTGTCCTCCTTCATGTATTTATTTTGTCAGTAGCCGCTTCTGAGAACCTGTCAGTGGGCTTTGTCAGGCTGAACATGAGTTTGTTGTCAGAATAACTGTTAGTACAGCTGGAGATTCTTCCGCAAAGCATCTTGCAATTTGAAAAACTAATCTGGGTGCAGACATAGCTTTACAGATGACTTTTTCTGTTTTAAAAGCCTCAGAAAGTGTGTGCCAGTATTTTCAGCAGTAAACCTTTTTTTATAAAAAAAGTGATGCTGAAAATAAAAATACTGAACTCCTGTTTGTGACTTACAAAACACTCTTTTCCTTTTCTTAGATACCGTTTTTTTCCATTTGCCACCGAGATGTCAGGATCGAACCACAGTGTATGGCGTCTCTTGCTACAGGCAGATTGAAGCGAAGGTAACTTTCCCAGCTGTGATTTATATTAATGAAATAATGCATTGACAACCCTAAAATTCGGTGACTTACATTGTACCGACAGTCAAACTGCATGATCGGCTTTTATTAAAAATTGATGAGAATGTGCCAATACGTAGCTACAGAGCTTGAGAGTTCTTTCTTCCCCTTACGTCAGCAGGCATACTGTGATCTTTTGAAATGTTCAAGGCAACTGAAAAATGTGTTTTGGTTCTTCAGAGCTAATTCAGGCATCATCACCAAGTAGCAAAACGAAGCTGACAGCCGGTCAGACAGCCAAATAATGTTTCCAGGAAGTGGGCCTCTTGGGTGGGAAAAGTTGCAATTTCTCTGGTGTGTGACCATGAAGAATTTTAGAGTATTTCTTGGGATCTGACCGCACAAGCGTAGGGATGTTTCTCTTCATCTACCTCCTTTGCCAGAGGTACACTTGCAGAGTAGACCTTAATCTTGCCATTCACTGTAGCTGCTTACCAATACTGAACAATTATTTAGCAGTAAAGCTGGAAAAATTGATAAGAGGTGCAGTGTGCACCTGATAACACTGAGAAAATGGTGTACTTGGTCTACTAGAATCTGCCCATATTTTCAAAAGCAGTAATGACAGTCTGGTCTGTGCATGTAAAATTAGGAGGCTATTGTGAATTTGTTCTCAAGTTACTCATTTTCCCAGTGAAAGGCCAAGAATCTGGAATGCCATGTCGGTCTGAGTTTTAACAGTCTCTTGTATTCCTAAGATGTAAATTATGTACTCTGTTAATCATACCTTGATTATATTTCCTGCTTATGCTTGATAATATTTCCTGTTTATGCTATAGGAGAGATTTTACAAATGCAGATTTTAATTCCATTTCCTTTGAACTAAATCCATGTTGATTTTAGTTCACTCATTATCTTTGCAGCCAGTCTTCACCGTGTTCTGTGATTTAGAGTCTTCCTTTATTTAACTACGTGATAAATTTGCTTTATTGTGCTCTTCATTCCAGTTTATGCTGTTTAGTAACCAAGTAAGAGGATAATAGATGTTTAAAATGAATACTTTGAAACCAGTAAAATACAAAGCAATGTGTTTCACATGACAGCTCTAGCACTTATTCCATCTGTCCTTTCTGACATGTGGGCAGCGGTCTGCACACTCGGTGTTTTATACAATTAGATGAACCACTTGGCTGTATTTCTGCCCCCACCGTTTCTAGGCCTGCTGTTAAGTGCTGAGGATGTAGTTGATTTTGCAGATGATACCTCCTTTATTTTATGTATGTCTCAAAGAAAATCCTTGAGTATAAAGCAAAAATTTTCTAGGCAAAGACTTTTCAGCCTGTTCCATTTTCACAAATAAAGTTGTAGAAGAAAGAGTGATGTGTTGTGATTTCTCTTCTGTTATATTACCCTGAGTTATTAAAATGCCATTGCCTTATCCCAAGCTGTTGCCTTTTTATCATGCTACCGTCTTTTAAGCAGTCCTCTGTCTACATCACAGCTGTATTTGGATCTTTGCTGTGCACAGTGAGAGAGACAACTCTGATATATCAGTGATAAGGGCATGCCATTGCATGGTTTGGATATTCCACCGTTAAAGGCAGTCAATTTTAGGATTTCTTTTTTTTTTTTTTTTTTAATAGGGGGGTGGTATGTGGCAACTAGACCCGGGAAAGAATGATTTTTTAAATTGTGCGTGGGTAAAAATACTGTAATGCTTCTATTTCTTAGGCATTGAAAGTACGGCAAGCAGACATCACCCGAGAAACAGTACAGAAAAGTGTCTGTGTTCTCAGTCAGCTGGTAAGAATGTTTGTATAGCTCCTAAACCACTTTCAAATAACATATTAAAAGTCATTTGTTTTTCCTACTCTTATTTTGAACTTTTGGCTCCAAATGTCTCTCTTTAAATCATTAGAGAGGTTGACAAAGTGCTGAAGTAAAATTGAATGGGAAGGCTTATAGCGTTTGAGTGTGCTGCCTTGAATTGGTATCTCCTTGTAAGAGTCGTTGTAAAAGTGTCTGCCAGTTGTCAAAGGCTGGGACTTGCACTTGCACTTTTAATTATTCTTAAGTGCTACTAACTTTAATGAAGTAGGATTGAGGAGTTTGGCCATTTTAACAGCTGAAGAGAGTGGCTATTGACGGCTGTGAATGGGGTTTTAAGGCAGTCACACGTACAGCGCACTCTTGAAAAAGCATCTTGTATTTCTACCTATTTAGCAAAAGCTAGTGGTCACCAGACAGGGAACAGAAATTCTTTCTGGGCATAAAGCTGAAGAAAGAACTATGACTGGAACTGCACAAGCAGTATTAAAGCAGGAAAGCACTTTTCCAGAAAGATGTTATGTGATGGGATGTGCAAATGGAAAGAAAGTAGAATTATCATAATTTGAAATTAAAATGAAAGATACTGCAAGTTAGCAACTAAGGACTGCACCTCTATGAGCTCTATGTCTAATAATGTGTCTGTATTGTAAGGTAAGAATGGGAGAAGATTGAAGTTCAGAATGAGTGACTCGGTTTTCTTCACGTGGTTTTGTGTTTGTTTTTCTTCCAAGCCCTTGTATGGGTTACTTCAGGCAAAGCTGCAACTCATTACACATGCGTATTTTGAAGAAAAAGACTTCTCGCAAATTTCAATTCTAAAGGTAACTTTGAAGTAACAGCTACATAGAACAAAGCTTTCAGTGTATGGCTATGGGCTTTAGTGTAAAAGTTAGTGCTCAAGTATCCTATTTGCATAGGTCCTTCAGTTATTCAACTCTTGTGATAACCTAATGTGAACTAAATGAGCTACACGAATCTGACGGAGGGTCAGCTTTCAGATTTGTAATGAAACACAAGAAGGAGTGTGATTGTCAGCCTGTATTTCCATTGACTCCATTAGTAAAATTTTACCCTTTTTTCTGGAATAAGATGTTGAAATCCTTGAATAAATTAATTTTATTTATTCAGGGGTTTGTGTGTGACCGTGTTAACAACTTCTGGTTATCGTGGCGGTTTTTTTACCTTTGTTCTAACTTTTGCAGGAACTGTATGATCATATGAACAGTTCCTTGGGCAGTACTTTGTTAGAAGGGTCACAAGTTTATCTTGGTAAGTGACTTTTTTTTTTGTACAAGCAGTTGATACAATGTTACACTAATCAACACATTCCCTTCCTGAGCTAATTTGTTCAGGTACATTAACAGATTAAGCACCAGAGGCCTGTGCTTGTATCTGTATCTGTTTATTTAATAATGGATTGAAATAAATGTCAAATAAAGGTGGTGTTCCTTTTGGAAGTAGGAGTTGTAAGTTGAAAGCCTAACTTGAAAGCCATGTTACATCTTGACCTAACAGTCTGGCAAGCACTTCTTTTGCTGCTTTTAGGAAAGAGTAGCTTCTTAATTTTTAGATGAAATTATTTGATGGTGCGGGAAGCTCAGGTTTTCCTCCATTTTCTCCCATTTGATTCTGACTGTTCCCTGTTTTTTTCCTGAAGGCACCCTGTACTGTTTTCCTCAGTGTTTCCATAATGCTGTGTGGCAGGCAAGAGGAGTAACTTGGACCATGACTGTACACATTATTATTGTCTCCACTGTAGATTTAACTTGCTCCTGCTCAAAAGGAAGATTTTAGTATGAGTTCTGCTAACTGAAATAACCAGGTTCACATAGAATGCATAATGGGTGTCCTCCTCCCCCTGAAAAATGATGACAAGAAGGAAGTTAATGTCTCTGCTAGATATTAAACTGTAATAATTGCTCTCTTTTTGGTATCTCAGGTCTGTCTCCTCGGGATCTTGTTCTTCACTTTAGACACAAGGTAGGTGTTTGCCGCTACATAGATAAAGTACAGCACTTACTTTGTGGAGTAAAATACTGGATTCTCTGAAGATTTCTAAGTTTGTGTGGCATTTCTTTAGTCCTCTCCCAAAGTGTGAGTCGTATCTCAGTTATGGTCAGGTTTCTATTTCCTGCTTCTTGTTAGATGAATGTGATAGATTGCTAGAGTCCATGCAGGTACAACTTGGAGCGTTTTTCCATTTCTGTCATCACAGAACCTGAGGTGACTTACACCTCTCCTTCTTCCTAATGGCTGATGAAATTGAGTGTGTATCCCATAGCTAAGGTACAGCTAGCATTTAGAATCTTCTGTTAACTGAAAGGCATCAAGGAAATAAAATTTGGAGTCTGGATTTCACAGAATCACAGACTGTCAGGGCTTGGAAGAGACCTTGAAAGATCATCTAGTCCAGCCCCACTGCCAGAGCAGGACCACCTACAGCAGGTCACACAGGAACACATCCAGGCAGGTTTTGAATGTCTCCAGAGAAGGAGACTCCACAACCTCCCTGGGCAGCCTGTGCCAGGGCTCTGTCACCCTCACAGTAAAGAAGTATTTCCTAATGTTTTTGTGGAACCTCCTGTGTTCCAGCTTGTATCCTCTGCCCCTTGTCCTGTCATTGGACATCACTGAGAAGAGCCTGGCTCCCCTCAGTCTCCTCCAAGCTGAAGAGACCCAGCTCCTTCCGCCTTTCCTCATAAGGCAGATGTTCCACTCCCTTCATCATCTTTGTGGCTCTGCACTGGACTTTTTCAAGCAGTTCCCTGTCCTTGAACTGAGGGGCCCAGAACTGGACGCAATATTCCAGGTGTGGCCTCACCAGGGCATGGTGTATTTGCCACCTGCTCAGTAGATTTTTGAGGTAGAACTCATTTTTGTTCAACTTAGACATTTCTGGCGCATGACTGGAGGACATCTGTGTTTTTCTTTGAGTGTAGAGAATCGAGACAGCCACTTCTCATCTAAATGCCTAAAATTAGGTGAGGTGAATGTTATTCTTGGTATTTTGCTGACTTCTTTTCTGTATTTCTGTGGAGAAACTCTTACGTTTATGCACTTTACTGCATACTGTTTTTTTTTAAATTCTGGAATTGCACAACATGTTCTTTCCGATAGGCTTTGTAAAATTTGAATTGCACAATTCTTGTTTGTGTAGGTTTTTCTTTGTGAATCTCAAATGCTATTTTAAAATGAGTGCCTAGGTGAAGAAAGGTTTTTGGAACTCTTTTTCACTGGCCATATGGATTTATCATTTAGCAATTTTGCAGTGATTAACATGAAATCTTGAATAAGAGATTATGCTTGCACAGTATTTTTGATAAATGGCATTGGTTCACTCACCATGTTTTTGCTTTTTATGTTTTTTTCAGGTCTTGATCCTTTTTAAGTTGATTCTTCTAGAAAAAAAGGTAACGTTTTGTAGGCTGAGCAGGTAATTGAAATAGAAATGCAATTTTTAATTTTTTTCATAGTTAGACTATGCTAGTGAAAAACAAGTTAAAGTAAAATAAAAACATCTGAAGTCATATCAACAACTTTGCATCCGTATATAAATTGAGATATTACACTTGGCCTTATTAATAGCTGTCCCAGACAGAATAGGTAAAATGTGAATAAATGAGAGTGGAGAAACTTACCATGTTATAAAAGATAAGAAAGGATACACGCAATGCAAATACGTACCGGTGTGACAGAACTGATCGGAAGTGCTGGCACCTAAAAGGCAACGTGCAGCTTCACAGGGATTCAGTAAGCAGAACTTCTGGTTTGGGCTTTAAATAGGCATAACAAGGGAGAAAATGCTAGAAGTGTCCTTCAGACTAGAATTGCACAGACACCTGCAGGAGACAATATAAAGAGACACAAAACAGTAGGTTTTTATTAGGTCAAACTGAATTCAGACTGTAAATCGGTAAATACTATTGAAATGTAGGCTCAGTGTTGTCTTCGGGCTCTCTTCCTGCCTCAGAAGCAAATCTGTTTTAGTAATTTAAGTGGAACATGCAAAATGTACAAGTGGATGTGAAATAGGAAATACACTTGTTTTCTTCTGCGTCCATATTTAATACCCTGAAACAAGAACTTTCGGTGAAATGACTGTGTATCAGCTCCCAGACACATTTATGCAAGTGTGGGTTTTGTTTTGCTTTGCTTTTTTAATACTTTTGTTTCAAGTTTTGCTTTAGTTTCCCAAAGGTTCTTCAGTGAACATTCTGTGTTAAAACACAGGTTTTTCAACGTGCTGAGAAGGGACAGTAGAGTTTCCTGTTAGCTGCAACTGGAAAGTCAATAGGACTTAACCTGTAGGGTTTTTTAATGTCTGTATCTAAGGCATAAGTATCTTTTGTGAGACAGTAAAAATGACTTTTAAAGCCATATGCTAAAGACCGCTGTATTGAAGGCTATGCAAAATATATACTTGAGAAAATATGATTATGACCTAGTAGGAGCACAAATGGAGAAGTATATCTAATGAAGACTCGATATGCAAGCGTTTTTCCCAAAAATAACTTAATACATTCTGAAAGTATACAGTGATTTTTATTTTTTTTAAATGTAAATGGAAAAAATCTTTTCCAGTTTAGATTTTGCAAAGTATCCCTACTGATCTGTGTAAAAACTTATGATAGCATTTAATCAGGTCAGTTCAGCATTTGGACATATAAAAAGAAAACACTTTATAGAGCTACAGTTCTTTTCTTAATGTGCTCAAACCACAAGTCAGAACGCACAGGAAGAGGGGGGAGGGGGGTTTCCCACGCATGTTCATATGACTCAAACATACAAGTTTGTTTTGAAAATAAGTGGAGGCTTATTAAATAAATATGCAGGTTGCTTTGGTTTTGTTTTTGCCTAAGCTCCAACAGGAAGACAACACTTGCGATTGCAAAAAGGAAGAGTTTTGGTTTTCTGGCACTGCCTGTGTTCTGGCAGATGTTAAGGCTTCAGAATAACTGTGGGAATCTGTATGTTCAAAGACTTCTAATATGCAAGAAGCCATTAGTAATGCCAGTTTTCCTTGAGCTGAAAAACCCCTGAATGCCACAGACAGATTTCTTTTAATCCCTAGCAATTTGGTTGATGCCTTTCCACAGACTAAAGGAATTTATTTTCACCTCTCAGCTGTTATGAGGCTGAAAGACTACTTCTGGATGGTGATCATTTGACTTTCTGCTGCCAGGACCACCCAGTTTGCTGATCTAGATGTCGTAGGCCATCTGACAGGGTTGTGAAGCGTTAAGGAAGTGTACACCCATATAGACAGGAAGATGGCAGAGGGACTTGATGGAACAAATCTAAGTGGTATACCCAAATGAAAACCCAGACTGGAATAGGTTTCTTGAGAACAAGGTACATCTTTATAGACTTAATTATTTCTGTAGGCCTAAAAATAAGTTTGGCTAGGAATACATGGTATCTGAGAATCTAAACTGGTAGGGCTGTTGTAGGTTTTCTGCTGTAGTGCACTGCTATTATATCATGAATCCTTCATACACGTGTGACGGAATGGCATCTTAAAAGAAGCTGGACTTCTTTTTATTCCAATTGACCAAAATTTTTTCCTCGGATGAGCACCTTGTTCTTCTCATCATGCTTTTTCTGTGGCTGTTGCAATTTTAATTCACCTATTCTGAACACAGGAAAAAGAAAAAAGTATATAAAGATAATGTACATAGTCCACTTCTAGCAAAGGAACTGGTAAACGTTGTTTGATATGTGTTAAGACTGCATAGGTATTTCTCTTGTTTCCATCCATTTACTAGCTTGTAGACTTGCAAATACTATTGGAATATGAGGTATTGTTTGTCAGCCACTTCTGCTTTAAGCTAGGAAAACACTTTAGAAGACTTTTATTCAATCTAAGTCCATAAACTTGCACTTTTAATTTCATGGTATACCTATTAAAATGGCCTGCAAAGTCATCGGTTAGACTATTCTGTATTTGCATTGGTGATTCCCTCTAATGCTCGTGGCTTTCTTAGTATGGTGCTGCTTGAGGATGTAAAAATGCAATTGTTAAACAAGTTGACTTTCATGTTTTTTTGTGTTTTTTTGTTTTGTTTTCAATTGTTTGTAGGGTTTTGGTGTTTGGTTTGTTTGTTTTTTTTTATTTCCTCCCTGCTGAAGGCAATTCCCTGGAGGAATTTCAGTAGTAATATCTAGTCTACCTTGTGTTTCTCCTTTGACTGCTAGCTTTTGACACCTCCCTTTAGAATTACTAGCTAATATACTAATCCCAGTCTCTCTGATTTAATAAAGGAGATTGTTTTCCCATGTTATGCCTTAAGTACTTTACTTAAATCATTCATGTCTTCTGTTTCAAAAAAAATCTTTTTTTTTTAAAATTACAGGAAGATACCTGTAATAAATGCATGCTGCATTTATCCTGTCTTTCTTTTGTCTGCATATCTTTAATATGTTTTTCCTAAAAGAGATGGTTTTGCTTAAGATTTTGTCACAGCCCTGGAGTGGAGGTTATTTGGCCTCTTTGATTTATGACAGACATTTTAACATACTACAAATGAAAAAGAAATTATGTGTCTTGCCAGGAACAATTTTTTTTCTGTCAGTCATTCAGTAACTGGATCAATTTGGGGAAAAACTCTGAATGACTGACAGAAAAATCTGAATCACTGTCAAGTATATATGACATGCATATATATATATATATGTATATAGCATGTGTATAAAATAGAAGGATATAATAGACATTTAAATATTTACTTTGAACCGGTTTAAGAGCTTTTGGTAAACAGACTTTCTAAAATAATGTAAAAACCAATACTTTGAATAGCTTGCATGTGTTTATTCTGTCTTTGTCATGCTTAAGTGTAATTTTATTTTTCTCATTCTCTTCTCCCTAATTCCGCTCTCCTCTCTTGCATACTCTTTC